CATTTCCACCTCACAGTTCCTGTTCAATTACAGATGTTTTGAGTGTTTGCAGCTCTCGAAATTCTCGAAAGGGTTACCTTGGTTGCTGATTGGCTAATGGTTACACAAGAAAAAACATCGTAATGACATCACAAAGTGGCCAAAATCTGATCAGCTCATTTTCAGACAGGTTTTTATAGAAATGGATCAGGACACAAAGAGAGAGAATCTTTGTTCCTGAAACTTTCAGAGTCTCTTTACACAGAGGGGACACATGTTGATGTAGAAGAGACATGAAGAAGAGGGGACACATGTTGATGTAGAAGAGACATGAAGAAGAGGGGACACATGTTGATGTAGAAGAGACATGAAGAAGAGGGGACACATGTTGATGTAGAAGAGACATGAAGAAGAGGGGACACATGTTGATGTAGAAGAGACATGAAGAAGAGGGGACACATGTTGATGTAGAAGAGACATGAAGAAGAGGAGACACATGTTGATGTAAGAAGAGACATGAAGAAGAGGGGACACATGTTGATGTAGAAGAGACATGAAGAAGAGGAGACACATGTTGATGTAAAAGAGACATGAAGAAGAGGGGACACATGTTGATGTAGAAGAGACATGGAGAAGAGGGGACACATGTTGATGTAGAAGAGACATGGAGAAGAGGGGACACATGTTGATGTAGAAGAGACATGAAGAAGAGGGGACACATGTTGATGTAGAAGAGACATGAAGAAGAGGGGACACATGTTGATGTAGAAGAGACATGGAGAAGAGGGGACACATGTTGATGTAGAAGAGACATGAAAAAGTGGATTTTGCATAATAGGTGACCTTTAATATCTTCTCCGCAGGAACCCAGTGTGCGTCACTCAGCTACCGACAGTAATGGCGACCACCGTGATGGATAGAATCGGGCGAGTGTTCATCAGCCTGCAGCAGATCAGGGAGGTTCCCCAGATGCTGAACGAGGCCGCCCCCTCCATGCCCGGCACCCTAAAAGACTCCGAGGTTCCCACTTACTTCAGAGAGCGCTACGTCAGCACCGGCTACCGACCGCTCAACCAAAACTGGCGCTACTACTTCCTGTCTTTATTCCAGCGCCACAACGAGACCATGAACGTCTGGACTCACCTGCTGGCGTTTTTAGTTCTTCTGATTAAATTCAGGCAACTCGCTGAGACTGTGGACTTTGTTAGTGATCCTCATTCGTGGCCCCTGTTGATCCTCATCGTGTCTTCCTTGATCTACACAGGTTTCAGTACAGTAGCCCACCTGCTGGGGGGCAAGTCTGAGCTGTGTAATTATAGTTTCTTCTTCCTGGATTATGTCGGGGTCGCACAGTATCAGTACGGCAGTGCTGTGGTTCACTTTTACTACGCTGTGGAAGAGGGCTTCCACAGACACGTTCATGGGATCTTCATGCCTGTCGCGACCTTCCTCAGCTGTCTGTCATGTCTGGGATGCACCTATGGGAAGTACTGCAACCACAGACGTCCCATGTGGGTGCGTAAGGTGTGCCAGGTGGTGCCCTCAGCACTTAGCTATATGTGGGACACTAGCCCTGTGGCATATAGATTCATGTCATGGCATAAGAACAGCGATGATCCAGCGGTTTTCTATCATTTTGGCCAGGTGGCTTTCTTTCTTAGCTGCGGCTTCTTCTTCACCTGTCCTGTTTTTGAGCGATGCTTCCCTGGGCGGTGCGATTTTGTGGGACAGAGCCATCAGATATTCCATGTCTTTCTGTCTTGCTGCACCCTGTGTCAGATCCATGCCTCCTACCTTGACTACGTGGGCCGCAGGGAGCTGTACTCCCGTCTGCATGGAAGCGATGAGGCGGGTCTCTTTGTGGGACTCTATGTGTTAGTTTTAATTGGTTGCTCGCTTATTGTTTTCTTAATGCTAAGGAAAGTCAAAAAACTGCTAGGTTGCAAGTCCAAATAATAGATAAGAGATTGTAGGAAAGGCATTCATGTGCCTTTATCGCCTCAGACTTACAGTACTGCCCATTTTCCGAAACCCTAATAGTCAGAGAAATGTCCCCATTGCCTCAATTGATATTTCCTATAACGTCGAAGGCCTTTACTTGCCTACTCTGCCTCTGATTGGATAGTACTTGTTGCCTTTATTTGTTGTGTTGTTTAGGTTTAGACATTCGATTAGTGGTTCTATGCCTTTGCCATAGGGATAACGGGCAGTTGCACAAATGGACATTCAGATAAATGGATTTTGGGTCTATAGGGACATTTTCAGACAATTGGAGTTTTGGAATTATAGAAATTAGGGCCCTAGAAATGTTGGGTGTTTGTTCTTGGGATAACAATCTATCAGACAAACTGGCTTTGGGTCCAATGGAAAAAAAAATGTTATCTGAATAATGGGCCATCAGAGCAATGGCGTTGCACATTGACAGACAGGGAACTAACCATACTGTATACGCTTGTTTTATGTAAATACTTGTTTCATTTTGCATATTTCATAACTGTAAGGGCCAGATTACAAAAAGGGGTGGCGAGTATTTTGGGACTGAATTGCATTTGTATAGAGTTTGTGAAAATATAAAAAATGTTTAAGCATCAGCTTATATAACTTTTTACAGCTTATAGACATTCAAAAGATCAAGAATATAACCGAGAAACGAATGTGTGCTTGTTGCAAGTTCAGACAATATAAACTAGTAACATCACCAGAAATCTACCATTCATACCGTAAACTACAATGTTTCTCCATACCGGCCCTGGTCATTTGCACATGTTATGTAATATTTGGCATAAAGGTGGTGCTGAGCGAGTGTTATTTTGTGAATGATGCCGTTCTCAACCGCCAAATGCCATGAGATAATTGCACAGTGTCCAGGCTCTTCTGAGAGGAAAGCCTTAGGATTTAAGTTGCCATTTTCATGGTGTTGTAAATGTAGTTTGGACAAATTTGAGGACTTATGGTGACATTTCATTGCTAGTGTATTACCTACTATGATAGACAAACGTTGGCATGCCCCCAGTCAAATCAATATTCAGCCTTGGACGGGGGCAGCAGTTAAAACCTATTCAACCCGTGAATCAATATCAGTTTGTGTATGCCAAATTTCAACATGTTGTCAGTGCTTTACCTTTCACTCCCCTGTGTTCTTGTAGTTAATATGACTGTTTAACATGGACTCTGGCGGCTTTGAAATGAGCATAGATAACTTGTTTCAGTTCCCCGTCATAAAGGGATGTCTGACAGCAGTAAAAGTATTACAAAAGATAGTGTACACTTAAGCTAATTATTCTCTCATACAACCCTATTTCGAGAAATCAAAACTATCTAGTTAACATGTTGTCCTTTTGCTAGCTCCTTTTTAGATATAGCAATACACTGCCTTGAACTATTTAAGAAAGATAGATATTTTACGAGGGATTTAATATATTAGAGTCTTATATATTTGATGAATGTTTTGTATGATCACTGTATTGTGTCTTATTGGGAATCTTGAATGCTTCCCTTTTATTCCATAAGGGAGAAGTGAATGTTGGTAAACGAGGGTACGTATTACAGATTAAGGTACCATATTATTTTAAATCTATGAAAGGTTACTCGTAGTGACCAAGATGTGAAGAAAGTGAGATTGAGTTAACCCTTAGATGCACTTAGAGTGACTGGACCCCACTCTTCCATAAGTGGGTCAAAAAGGACCCGTATTAGAATAATATGTATTTTTGTGCCATTCTTGTCATTTTGGTTAAGAAAAATCGCTTGTATAATATTTAGTATTATATTTTGGTTCACACTAGAAATATTTAATTTTCACTATTTATAATTTTAGACATTTTTTTTACATTTTGAAAAAAAACGTTTTGAACATATTGATGCAAAGATCTCCGCTATTCTGAGACCCTCACAGTATTCCAGTCCCTTTTCAAACTCATCTCTTCTCCTCTTGTCTACTCATAGCCCACCCCCCATCAATCCATGCCGGTTGGTCAAGTTTGATAGTCCTATACCCCCCACCCTAACCTTCCCTTATATTGTAAAGCGATGTTGAGTCCTTGAAAAGCCCTGTACAAATATAATGTATTATTATTATTATTACACTGACAGGTATCAGATCTTGTTGTGTAAAATAATCTTCCTGAGAGGTGTCACGTGTGATGTCGTCTGCGTGGTCCACAGTGAATGTATTCCTGACAGACACAGGTGATAAGAATCAAAGGTTCCCAAAGGATCCCATAGAAAATGCATGCGGGTCATTTTTGACCCACTTATGGAAGCTTGGGGTAGAAATACAAAAACTACAATTCTTAAAATGTAAATTTTAAATGTGAATGGCATGATATCCAAAACATGTTTTTGAGGAATAGCTGGAATATGAAATGATAAAAAAAGTAATTACAAAGACTTATTTTTTCCTCCCCCGACTCGAGCATACGCCATGTCTTTTTGTTTGGGTCCGTCGATGACAGATTTTGATTTATGACTGCCCTAGCTTTTGCGTGTTATCTTACGTCTCCTACTGCTGATTTCCTTGTAATTGAAGGACTGGTGTGAGGTAGCCTCGAGTCTCCGAAAGAGAGAACGGCCAATATGGTGTTTCCATCTCAAGGAAAAATGAAGACGACAGAAGTGTTGTTGTACGACGAGTCATGTCCAAATTGCGAGCTCTACTAATCCGGTACGATTATCCATTTGTGGGCTTGGTATTTAATATGCAGGTTTGTCAGCCACGTAACCAAAGACTATCCGTTGCAAAGGACTAGTCCCGGCACCCAGGTGTGAAAGACTATAATGCAGTATAGCCTGCGTTTAGATCTAGTCGAGGCAACATAGGGGCAAATAATCTCTAACACCCATGCGCTCATTTCGTCTCTCACAAAATTAAAGACTTGTGACGCGACTCAAGGGGCTTGTGTGGCCCCTCCCAGACGGTCGGTTTTTTTTTTGTTTGGCTTGTGCTTGCCGCGTCTGGTGTAACTACATAATTTCTGAGTCTTTCACGTAAAAACGTACTATCCAGGAAATTCATTTTCATAACATGTAAAATACAGTTATATAAGTACACTTCATTTTTCAGGACGTAAGACTTTTCACTTCTTCATAAGCAGTTCTTTACCACGGAGTTTCGATATTTTTCAACTTAATTAAGACGTACTATTACAGTAGGTACTACAGTTACGTATAATGAATATAAGACCGTTTATAATCATAATCATATAACCCTAATAAGTGACAACAACTGTTGTGTAATGCGACAATTGTTTCGCAAAACATCCTCCAACGCATCAAAATGAAAAGCCCCATGGAATTTGTACGAAATCGAATTCACATAGTTTATGGGTGCCCCTAGCAGTTTATAATTCGCAATGACTGTCATTATGACACATCGTCGGGTCATTATTGGACTCATTATCAATACTTAACAGAGTGACTTTAGGAAATTTATTGTGGATAATGGTGTCCTCCGCGAGGAATTAGTTCAGTAATAGGAAGTCGAGCCCCTAGACAGTACGGCCCACTCGGACAATTGTTTATACTTAACTTACAATAACTAGTTTCACTGTTACAGTCGTCCTTTCCGGTTCCAACTAAGTCTGTAAAGTAGTCCTACACTGGCTCCGCACGGAGAAGCACAGTTGGTACGGTGAGTCGCCTAACATCTGAGCAATACTCTATTACATAATTCGTAGGTCTTTCAACGACAAAGGAGTTTGAACAAATTGTGTATGATTAGTTTATTAACGGAATTCGACGTAATTCACGTGCTATTATGAGGCTACTGGATGCTGATAATAGGAACAGGGTAGACACGGGAAGAAGGACTCATTAACTTCAATAATAAAATAGTTAGTAAGAAGAAAGATGTAAAACCAGATTAACCCTACACAGGGAGAATTTTAGTAAAGATGTGTCAGGAGAATTAGTGTAAAAGTGATCTAATTACTGCAATTTTCTCTGATAAACAGTATGTAGATATCTCAGTATTTAGCGACAAAGAGGACCGGAGGCGACGTTTTGTTGTAGTAATTGTTTTTGAGCGTCGTTCTATGGCTGTTAGTGTATCATGCTGTTATTACGTTGTTATCGGACCATAATTGTCGTCTATCTTCAGTAACGGAAAGTAGAAACATAAGTTTAGAGAAAATACACAGGTGATTAGGAGATTAGAGCACACAAATTCTATACCATTCCCTATAAAAATAAGCAGTATGTATATTCATATATTCACGTTATTTTTGTAACGTACGGTTCACCGGGTCACGTTTGTCCTTCCTCAGTATTACACGTTCGGATCATTTTTATTATATATTGACTTGTTTTTATATTTACGTTGCTGAAAACAAAAACGAGGGTAAAAAGTACTCTACTTGAGTTTCTAGATTTTGTAAAGATATAGGTGTTTAGTGGTAAAGAGCAGTTTATAACAAGTTTTAGACTTTTTAGGCACGTATTACTCGTGAAGAGAGAAACGGGCTCTTTTAGGTAGGGTGGAGGTAGTTCCACACCGTATCATTCTAACGACTAATTGTGCATACTAATGAAAGTGTCCACATCGGAATCCCACCGGTGTTATTTTTCCGGTGTGAATTTGTAGTAAAAACGAAATAACCCCCCCAGACCCCCCAGCTTTGTCGTGACATAAGACACACTCCAATCCTAATTCCAATTCACCAATCCCTAAATCCATTAGCGGACTAGCTCACCGGACACAGAGCACAGGTATTTGTATGGCCGGACGGTCATGGTTACTTGGGGTGGTGCGGTGGTACCCCCGGTGAGCTAAGTGTTGTAATGGATTGGGATGGCATTGGGATTAGGATTGGGTGTGGTCTATGACTGACCCAAAAGCCTGGGGGGGTCTGGGGGGGTTATTTTCGTTTTTACGTACAAAATGGTCCACCGAAAAATAACACCGGATCCAATCCCAATCCCAAAGATGGAAAAGGGGTGTGGTAGTGTGGCCCTAAGGTGGCCTGTCAGTTTGTATTGAAGAGAAGAGGAGGTCAGTGTTGGGCAAGAAGAGGTGGCTGTCCCTATAGTAGAGTCGTATGTCCGGTTTAGGTTCGGGATGTGCTGTTATGAGTATGTAGGTTTAAATCGTCGTTGTCTCGGATGGTGAATATGTTCGTATCAGTGCAATGTAGTTATCTTTCTATGTATGTATTGGTTATGCACCTCGTCGGAAGGGACGGGAACCAAGTAAGAAGGGAATTATTGTCGTTGTATGCAATGTAGTAAGTGTACGTGTGGCACGTTTTTTTAATGTATCCCTTGATTTGTGTTGGTATTGAGTGGGCAAGAGTTTGTTGTAGAATAATTGTAACCCTTTCCACTGAGGGTGGGGGGACCAGTGGTAAAAGTTGTTGTGGCGGGTCTTGGCTTGGAGTAGTAGAGCACGACCTTTGGTTGCTGGCTCACTTGAGCCCGTCCTCCCTCTTCCCTCTTTGTAGAACCTAGGTCTTGACCCTGTGGTGTGGTCCCCTCGAGTTACTGTCGATCCACATAGAGGAGACCTAGGAGGGAGAGGAAGACGGGTGGTCAGGGTCCCTACTAGACTTGATGAGGAGGAGGAACCAGGTACATAGGTTGTGATTGTCCTGATGTGTGGGTGTTGTGGGTATGGTGTCTAGGGGATCCGGTCCGTTGTCGTTAGGGTATGGCCTTAGGTGTTGTTGCATGAGGATTGGGTTTGGGATATGGGATTGGGATTAGGATTGGAGTTGTGGTCTACGACTGACCAAAGCCTTGGGGGGGTCTGGGGAGGGTTATTTCTTTTACCGTACAAATTTCCCACCCGGAAAATAACACCGGTGGGATTCCGTGTGGACACCTTTATTAGTACGACAGATTAGTCGTAGAACTATATGGTGTGTATCATCTTTCACCTACCTATTATAAGAGCTGTTTTCTTCTTTCTACGTATGTGATAGTGTTTGTTCTAATATATAAGTCTAAATGATTGTATATGAGCTCTCTTTGACCAATTATTTTATACCATTCATCTTATCATAATATTCTAGATTTTTACTCAAGTATCAGTACTTTTACCCTTCGTTTTTGTTTTTTCACAATTCGTTATAATTATTATCAAACAAGTCACCATATTAGTTTTTTGTTTATATGATATTCACGCATTCTTTGTGACATTTACGTATTTTTCGTGTTACGGGTATACTTCATCCCGCAATTATGTCCACCACGTATGTACCATTTTTCACATATGACCACGTTATTGGTAGTGTGAAATAAATTTACTTAACGGTAAGAACGGTGATTACATTTATTAAGGTTAACTATAAACCAATTTCAAGTTTAGTTATATAAGAAATAGAAGTGCCAGTCGAAACTACAAAATGAGAGATAAAACTCTACAATATAACATTTATGTAACAACTAAAAGATGAGTCAAATGGTAGACGAGTGTTTTGTTTGATAAGAGTTAACCCCGTAATTACTTCATAGAACATAGGAATAGCAATAGAGATGTTGTTGTCATTTTCGTCAAATACAAGGGCATTCCTTTCCGTTCAATAAATATGTCGTGGAAGTTGCGCCGTTAAGTTTCCGAAATGTTTTTACTTTCTGCAATTCTTTACCGTAAATTTTGGTCAGGTAATTTTTCGTTTCTAATACATTCAGTCACTTCCGACGTTTTCAAAGAAATACGGTGAAACAACGACTGACGATAAAAGAATTGGAATTCTACGTACTCACCCAGGAACAACTGTGGCCACTCCACCGA